CCTCACCTCTGATGCAAGGTGCTCCATAGTCAGGAGTTCCGGACCATGGCCAAACAGATTGCGCATGGGATTCTGCTCCAGTCTAAGGCAAAGCAAATCAACATTGGCAATTAAAACAGTCTTTGGCTGTTACTGCTTCAGAAGGCTGATGGGGATTTGGTTTCTAAAACCTATCTACGTATTGGAGATGTAACCATACTTTCATCTGTGAACTGCACATTTCTGACCATTCCAGCCACACGCAAAAATTTCCTTTCTATACCAACTGAAGAAATGTAGAGGCCTGACTCTTATGAAGAACACATGAAAATCTATTTAAAAGTGACACCACAGATGAGGTTTATCTGCAATATGTACCTACCAGTCAGTTTGCTACCCACAGAGATATGTAATGAGAAGATTTACTCAGCTTCAGGATAAAACATTCTAACACTACATCATGTTGATTGGTGTGGACAATTACCAGCTACACACTCCAGACATTTGGCTATTGTCCCTTTGCTGGGCATTGCGTTTCTGCCCTTCAAAGTGAGCTGCCAACTTCAGCTTCAAATCTGTAAGGGGAATTTGCTAAATACTCTAAAAGCAAATATTACAAAAGCAAGTCAAATATCAACGCCTGGGGAACCTGTCTTTGATGTCAGACAACAGGGGAGCTCTCACCTGGACATTGCTGTTGCAAGAATGCCAATACTTGTCTCTTTTGGAGGGAAGGATGAATGCCCTGGCTCTTTTTCCACGGTGAAGTTCAGTGTTATTGAACCTTTTTCTGTGACAGCAATTCTGGCCAAATACAAATAAATGATTGATGCAACTCCAAACACACATGCACAGAGCACAGGTAGAAGAAACTAGCCTGTATAGTTCTAGCATTACACGAAACACTGTAGAAGCAGCAATAACAAATTCTCAGCAATCTTTAAACATTTGGAGGTCTGATATCTTGGCTTCTCCTCCTGTGAACAGACTCTACAGCATAATTAACACTCCTGCATGAGATAAGCAGAACATTCTGCTTTTGTCAGCACAGCTGCGATGGACAGCAAGCAAACCAAAGGCCCTTTGCTCTCTGTCATTTCAGCAATGCCAACACTGCCTCATGCCTTGAAAACATTTTGGTGACATTAGCAAAGTCATTTCTAACACATAATTAATGGAAATGAATCATTTTCATCACAATGATTCTTTTTCTCTTTTACTTACAGAGCTACTGGCTTCTTCACGCCCGCAATGATGCCGTCCAGGATAGCGCTTCCCTCATCCAGCAAGAAGGAGAGTTTCACTCCTCTGGATTCCAGCAGAGCTGCCATCTTCACTGCTCCCTTCCGACCAAACACCTGTGAAAAACCAGTCAGGAAATGGCAAAGTTTAGCCACATCACAGGGAAGAATGCTGGAAAGCATCTTACTGTTCATCACCTGCAACAACCAAGCCAATCTTTGGCCAGCTTGCCATGCCTTATTACACTCCCAAGTTCTTCCACGTCTGCAATCAGAAAAGAACTTGAAACAACACTCTGCTGCCTTCTTTTCTCATTGCTCATTACACCAAATCCCATCAACGTCACTTAAAGCCAAACAACCAATACGTAACTATGAGCACGAGCCTGACAGTATCTACACACACAACAAAGAACAGGAAGGATTTTCTAGGTGAACAAGGTTTAAAGAAATAAGACTTGCTATGTACATGCCAAACAAGCAGTCATCTAGCCAGAATGAAAGAAAATACCTCTTCATCATGGCCAATGCCAACATAGAAAGACCTGCGGGGTCTGTAATTTCTTCTCAGTAAGAATTCTAGAGCTTGCAGAATGCCCTGCAGAAAAGAAACACATAAACCCACCTCAGAATATTTTACTACTTTATGGTGTTAATGGGAGAATAAGTGCAAAAGATTGTAATGTAACAGAAAGGAAGCACGATGTGTTCTCAGCCTGTAAGGAGACTTTCTCCTGCTCAAAACGGAGTATTTACTTCTTCAGCTCCTGCTGATGACATTCATATTCTCAAGTAATGCCTCAGGCTTGGTGTAATACAGCATCAGTCTATGCACACACAATACAGCGCAGGCCTGTTCTTCCAACTGATGAAGTCAGGGACAAAGTGCATAGAAAGCACAACGCTTTTCATCATCCAAGGACTCCACTGCTCCTTTAAATCGTCCATCCTTTACACAGCCTGGCTCTGGCTTGAGCTACCAATCCCATTTATGTTAAGGAGCAACATGTTTCATACAAAAAGTACTAAGGCAGAAACAGAAGAATGAGAAATTTACTCCGAAATGAAATGAAATCTACCCTTTGCCCCTTTGCCATATTTTTCCATTTCCCTTGTCTTTTAAACTACAGTTTTCTGTTAGTTTGTCATTTTTAGCAGAAATTTACATCACCTCAACCTCACAAGCAACCACCTCATCTTTTCCACCACAACCACTGATTTCTAGTGTCCATTTGTGGGATCGCTTGTGCAGTTCACAGTAGGAGGGAGTGTCAAAACAAAATCACTCAACCAAACACATCTGCATCTGTAAATACGTTTTTCTACATCTTGAAAGAGACCTCATTGTTTCCTTCAGTAATATAAGACCACCTCGCTTCATCTCTAGGAAAAGCTGGGGAGAAACTGCAGGGCTCAGGAATTTTCTTAGGAAAGAAGGGCAAAAGAGATAACGTGGTCAATCTCAAGAGAGCACACTCCTTCAATTTGCCTTTTCCTCTCTCTGAAATATTACCAAGAAGACGTACAATGGCAGAGTTTTTGTTGTCCAGAGTTCCTCGTCCATAGATGAAACCTTCATGCTCTGCAGCTGAGAAGGGAGGGAAATCCCAGCCCTCAGGGGGAGCAGGCACAACATCCATGTGCGCGAGCAGCATGTAGGGCATCAATTCAGAGTCAGAACCCTGAACTGTGAAGAGGTGGCTGTACTCCCCAACGATTTCATGTTGAATGAACTTGGAGGAAAACACAGCTGGGAAGACTGTTTGGAAGAACAGATAAATAAAAACACAAGAAAAAGAAAAATCAGTGCTAATTTCCAATTGTATCACTGTACAGCCCACGGAGCAGTCAGATGTTTTCGATGGGCTCAACAAACTTGCTCCAAGAAGCAGATGTGCAGCTTCACTCTCACACTCCCACCAACCCATTTGGGCTCCTATTTGGGATTTTCTGAAGGAAAAACGGGAACTGTCATCCATCAGTGCTGCAGCTGTTTTACAGCAATGATGGAGCTGCCAGTTAAGCTGAAACAGTACCTTATTTTTTTACTTTTTTTTATGGCAAAGTCACTTAGCCATCTACGAAACACTAAAAAAGGGCATTCGAACTTTTTATTTGCTAGCTTTGGCTGTTGGTGCATCCTTGATAGAATCATAGGATGGCCTGGCTTGAAAAGGACCACAATGCTCACCCAGTTCCAACCCCCTGCTATATGCAGGGTCACCAGCCACCAGACCAGGCTGCCCAGAGCCACATCCAGCCTGCATGTGCTACTCCACTGTACAGCAAAAAGGAACAGCAGGGATGACTAAGGATGAAAGTTTAATACCTTTCTGAATGTAATCCCCAAATTCTGCCATGGCAGTTGCATTTAAGTCCTCCGGAGACACGGAAACAGTCGGGATTTTAACAGCACCTATGGTCAAACAAAACAGAGATCAACTGACGTTGAAATCGGACCGGCACTTCAAAAGGCAAAGCAATATTTACATTCCTTGGCATTTTTGAGGTTTTACAGATTGTTTCACAGCTCAGGGAAGGGTGACCTCAATGGGAAGGACAGGCGCCCTTCAGCTCAGCTGTGTCTGCTGCATTTCCCTTCTGTTTCAGACTTTTTTTTTTCCCCCACAAAACCGGAACATATTTTGTTTTTTCAGCCCGATGGCTGTCATTAGGGATGGCACTTCTACTAAGGAAACCGACTCCTTGCCCACACAGCGTTCTGGCAGATAGTTGGGAATTCACATTTCCAACGGCAATGCAATCAACCCACAAAGCCTCATCGCCAAACAATGCTTTCCTTGCTCAATCTCAGCCCTCCGCCTCACACACAACAGACCCTCCAACACCGAACCCTGCTGGGCAGCCCGGGGCTCTCGAAACGCCCCTCACCTCGCAGCGTTTCCTTCATTTCCAACCTCTCTCCGATACTGAAAGCGGCCGTTCCCCCGCGCCGTGCCCACAGCCGCGGGATGGCCGGGGATCGCAGCGCGTAGGTGCGGATCAGCACCACTGCCGTCAGCGCCAGTAGCGCCGCGCAAAGCCCCGTAGCGGCCGCGCACAGCGCCGCCCGCCACCGCCCGCAGCCACCCGCCATGACCGGCGGACTTCGACCGCCGCCGCCTCCCGCTCTCGCTAGGAGGCTGACGGACGTGGCCACGGACCAATCGCCGCGCGGCTGCTCGAGGAGTTGACCAATGAGAGTCGCGGTCCCGCCCTCTGCGTGAGGTGCCTTGGGAGTTGTAGTTGAGCGCTCTTGGTGTGGAGTGCAGTGCTTTCCTCCTGTGTGTGCGCGCGCTCGGTGAAAATTGAGTTTTTTATCCAGCAGTGAGCTGAGCCACGGGGCTGCTGGCAATGTGACAGAGTGATGTGGTGAGAAACGGGTGTCTCTGTGGGGGAGCAAGCCGCGCTGTGGCGGCAGGAGATGGCTGGCAGCAGCAGGCCTCATGCTGAGGGGATTCCGACCTTCAGGAGGTTCAGAGCTCAGGAGGTTCAGCCTCTCAGCTTCCAGCAGCTCCACAACCCACCCCAGCTACATCTTAACTCCCACACCATTTTTTCCTTCCATGTGTGTCTCCCGATGTTCCCCCTCACTCTTCCCAGCATTACAAACACACGCCTCCAGTCTGGTTTCACTGTGGAGCACGATGGAAAATGTGTTCCTTCTTTACAGCAGCGTTGTGCTGAAGGGTTGCGTCATTTTGTCCCGTGGCATCAATATTTGTGAGGTGCGTTTAGCTGGGAGCTGCCAGAAAGCCTCAAAGCAGCAGCAGAAGCGAGTGATTGTTCAGACATTCTTTATTATAAAAAAGAAAAAAAAAAAGAAAAAAGAACAAAACCGATATTAAATTAAATAAATTACAAACATTCTGAGCTGGTTATACATCATCAGTTTGTCAGGGGAGGCTTCAGAGCTGTTACACACCGTCAGCAATAAAAGGACACTGAAATTTAAGATTTTCTACCCCAGTATTAATTGGAGTTTCCCTCACTCTCCTGTCCAGGACATGAAAATGAAGACATTGTTGAGCTTCCAGTGGTTCTATCCGTCCATGTTGTCACCAGAAGTGACCTGTGGCTACCAAAAGGAGGAATCATTTTTCCTGGGCTGTCATCACTGTGTGCCAGTGCTGCTATTGCAAGGAGCCTCCCTTGAAATCCCATCTGTTATGCTGTAGGAACTTCAAGAAACAAAATCTATTCTTCATACACAGCCTGTTGCTCTGAGGTTTCCTAGGGCGTGAGGTCTGGCAGATCCTGAGGAATCAGTCTCCTCCAACTAAACATGATTGAGGAACTGGAAACTGCAATTTTCCTTGTTTGAAGCAAAGCGACCTCAGAGGTACAGAAACATTGATTGCTTACTGTAGAATAGCTTCGTGTTCCATTGCACCAATTTCTTTTCTTTTTTTTTTTTTTTTCAAATAAGTGAATGAAAGGAACTCTCAAACAGTAGCAAAACAGCATGAGTAATCACCCTCAAAGATAAGATAATTTAGCTCTTGTTTTCAGCTTGTACAACAAAACACAGTTCTGGAAAAGGCACTGCTGTCTCTCATCAAAATAAGTAATGACTATTAGGAGGTGGTTTGTCTCTTTTGGGAAACTGACTTTCTTTGGTGTTATTACTCTCCTGCACCACATAATCCGAACCTGAGGTAGAGAAATGGTGGTTTAGTGAATGAGGTGTTACATAAAGCCAAAGTGGCAGGTCGTGCTGTGATTACCTGTAATGGTTGTCTAGCTATGATGGTTCATGCAGCTCTATTTTCCTATAAAAATGGGACATTGGGAGCAATAGGGAAGCTCTGCTTTGTCTGCCCAGAAAGCCTTCCAGCAATGTGTGAATGAAACTCAATATGTACCTTGAAACAGTGCGCTAAAGCTTGTTTATCTTTTTAAAGTCGTGGAGCAATACAATCAAAATAAGCTTTAAAAATATAATTTGCTTGGATTATTAAGGCTTTTTTTTTTTTTTTTTTTTTTTTTTTCTTTTGCATTCATGGAAATACAGCAGACTGTTCAGTTTTGCTTGTACACTCTTGTCTTTATCCCAGTGCTGGAAATACTTTGTAGGAGGATTTGAAAATCAAACAGAAAAAGCTGCATTCATTGCAACTGAAAACATACTAAATTTTCTATGGCCTTACTTTCATCAAAGCCATATTTGAGGTTGAAACTCACTGAAGAAGGGTCCCTTTAACTCTTGGCTTCTGCTTAGGTTTTTCCAGGCTTTAGATTGTTATCTTGTCATTTCTGTCACAATATCAGCACTGGGTAAGAAGGGAAGATGTCAGAAAGGGAAATTAAAATAGCACGTGTTATAAGCATCACTCAAATATAAAAGAATGTCAGATTTCTAGAAATGATTAAGATCTCGTCTGTCTGTCTCTGGGTTAGAGCATCAGGCTTGTTTGCCTGAGAGGTAGATGGTCCTGGTATTATCAATCTGAGATGAATTGTAATGAAAATCATCAAATATGCAGTAGAGAATTGTTACAGAAATATCACATATAAAAAAGAGCGTTCCCTTGCTGCCTGAGTGACCATGAGAGCTTGTCATTGGAAGCCCTCCATAGCGCAGCTGGTACCAGTTGCAGATACTAAATGGGCTGAAGTTTTCATCTTGCTGCCCTGGATCCAGGACTTTACAAGAAGGAGGTTCCTCGCTGTCCCTGCATTTGCTTTTTGTGGTCGAAATGACTTGGGGAAAAAAATATAGAGAGATATATATGTATCTCCACAAAGCACTAATCCACGTACCACATATCATTTAGGTACTGCAGTCAAGATGGAAAGGGAGGCAGAACACCCTTGGAATTAATGCTTTCACGACATGCACAGTCTAAAAACCTTCTCTGCAGCTCTGTTCAGACAGAAGGAAGATGCCTAAAAATATCAGGAGGGATTTTAACTGGAGCCTGGGTCTTCTGAACACATACTGACTTGGCAGGCAGACCAGCATGCACACACAGCACACCGTAACAAGGAATTCATACTCCCCATTACAAGCTAGCCCTATTAATAAGTCAAAATATAATCTGGAAAATAGCCCACCTGAGATACTGCACCAGGGTGTGAGAAACACAGCACTGACTGGAGGCTGTGGTTTCTGGGTCACACAGAGAGCAGTGCAGGGGCATGGAGAAATGTGGGGGAACACAAAGGTTGGCACCTGCAGTGCAGGCACCCCGACAGTCAGTGCATGTTTTGAAACAGCATTACCTTACAGGCTGCACCTTGCAAAAGCTGCTTTGGCTCGTGATTCAAAGCCGTGAGAGGCTCGCAATATTTGCTTAATTTCATTTCATCGGGAAAAGAAGGAGGAAGGAAAAGAAAGAAGGGGGTTTCCCAAACTGTGTAATGCCTCTGTGGGCAGAAGATTGTGACTGTGTGAGACAAAGGCAAGCATGTGGCAAAACCAACTGATTGTCCCATGCGCTGAGGCACCTGCCATCAGGTGAGCTTGCTTCTCTTCTGTGATTAATGGGATGGCATTTCCTGAGTTCCTGCTCTGTGGTGTTGTGTTGTCTGCTGCAGAGGCCATTTCTCTGAGCACCAGAAGCAGAGCGGGAGGAGAAATTACCAGTTCAAGAGGCGTGATGACCTCTTGCTTTGCAAACACTTTGTATTCCTGGGTAGGAGTGCAGCTCTTCGTGATGGGATGGGAGAGAGGAGGCTGTCCAGGAGGGTTTATCAGCACGAGGCTCACAGCGCTGTCTGTGTCTCTGAATGGAACATGCTTCCGAACATCTCCTAGAAGGCACACAAGGCGTGCTGGGTTAGGGCTGGTGCCATGGCAGAGCACAAACCCAGCAAGCGGTTCAATCGAACACAGAAACATCAGCTGAAGCCCCAGCCCTTCCCTGGCCTCCTTCTTATAGTGTGGGGTCAGCATCAGGCAGTGTCTCCTCCTCTACCTGATTCAAGGTAGAATGTCCCACCTGGCGTCCCTCCTGCCCACAGGCACTAGGACTAACCTCCTCCAGGTTTGTGAACTCCGAGCTGCTTTCATCCACGGACTCATCGTAGATGGAGAGCTCTGTCTGATTCGGCCTCTGGGAAGGAAAGAATCAAATTCACGAATTAACAGAGTTCAGGGACAAACACAGTGAAAGAAATGAGTAGCCCATGCGTGCCCAAAGGGAAATGCCCAAGCAGAAAGGGCACAGGTGGAATCTTGTTGCAGCTGTTTATCGTCGCTGACTGAGCTAGCACTTACACATCACTGCAGAGATAAGGCATACGTAAACTTACTCTTATGAGATAACTGAGTAAAACTGCGCTGGTTCTAGCTCTGGTTATTATGCAATACACCAGTGTATGTTTGGGGAAATAACCTATCTGACCCTCTGTTGTCAGCATGTGGTATATTCCTGCTTTGACCTTTTCTCTTCCTACCAAGGGAAGCATTCATGGATGTTCAAGGGCAGGTGCATTTGCTTTGCCTCCTTTTGCTGTGGCCATATTCTGCCCTTGAGTGCAGTTGCATGCTCCAGCCAACGCCAAACAGAGAGCACAGACCTGGCACTGCTCTATTGGCCTCTACCAGCTGGGACAACATTCATCTCCCAGCTTGGGCCTTGCAGAAAACGTTTACACTTCTGACTTCCCATTTAATGCAATTCAATCAGCAGGTGTTTGGCTCCTACATGAAAATTCAGATAGGAAATAGTTTGTTGGATTTAGACCTTTACCACTTAAGATAAACAAGAACGTTTACCATGTGCATTAGTGAGATTTTGTTCTTCCTTTGTGCTGGCACAGTGTATGGACTTAACAGTACAGTACTGTGAGGTGGAGAAAAGCAAATGGGGAGCAAATGTACCTCTTCTAAGGTGGGTGGGTGGACGACTTCTTTGATATCTGCCAGTGCGAACAAAACAGCATCATGGATGGTCAGGAAGATGTGTTTTCTGTCCAGGCCTCCTTCTTCAAAAACCCCACCTGTGCTGATGTCGTTGTACACCTGGGCTGGGGAAAAGAAAGGTGAACCAGGGTGAGAGCAAAGAAGGAAGCCTTCGAAAGCAACATGGCTGATGGCGGCTCTCTGAGGTAGGGCAAGCCCAGAATGCAGAGTTTGCTGAATTATTCTATTGCCAGTCTATTTTTCTATGTGCTAAATGCAGAGATTTTCCAATACCACTTCCCAAACGAAATAACCTATTATGCAGACAGAGAACAGTGTTTCTCCTTTGTTTCTTCTGTTCTTTCATCTGTTCTACTCTTTCATCTGTTCTGATTTGGTCCTATGAAGAGATGACAGCTAGCAAAGTTTGCATGAAGAAAACAATAAAGTCCCAAAATGGAGGAAATGCACATGGAAATGTGCTCTTCATGGATTCTTACCATGCACGTTTGCCAAGAACACTTTAATGCCAATCTTCTGATAGCTGGAACACAGCTAGAAGGGATGAGAGGGCAGAGAAAGGATTAATAACACTGCTGCTCTGGCTTTGTGTTTATACATTAAGTCTTTTATCCAAGGCTTTACACGTGTCCTGGGAATGCTGAAGGAGAAACTCACACAAACCTCCGATTGAGGAGGGTAAACATCTTTATCTAAACTGCACAAGGGAGTGGAAGGTACTTGGGTGGTAAGGAGCCTGGCTGTAGCAGAGGACTCACCTTGCCCAGTGCTTTTGTGCCCATGAGGTCAACAAAGCACACCCCGCTCATGTCCAGGATGATGGTGTGGAAGCTGACATAGGGCGGTGCCGTGGCCATGGGGTCAACATCTGCAGCTGACATTTCCCTGAAGGTGCTTCCTTGCAGAGTGGTGGTGCTGCCCAGCTCGCTGGAGGTGTGTACCTGCCTGGTGCCGTTGGCAGGAGGGTAGAACGTGATGTAAGAGATGCTGGCGCCGTTAGCAGTCGTCTGGTTGTTGTTGGTGTCTGTTGGAGAGGTGCTTTCAAAGTCTTTCTGGAGCTCTTGCATGGATAAGGTCTGTGGGAAAGCAGAGGTAAGCAGTCAGGCAGGACCGCTGGCTTTGTGAGCCAAGAAACGCTTTCTTTTATGCACTGAAGTAGTGCAGGATCTTCTCAGACACTGAGAGAGGATGACTGGAAATGTGCTTCACAAGGGAAGGGTTTGAGCTGAAATGCTGACATAGGTCCATCCTTAGGGCAACTCCACATTCTAGCGAAAGAAACTTTCCTGCTGTCATTCCAAACTTGCTACCTCTACATTTTTCCTGCTCCCAGCCATTTCCAGTTGTCCTGCATGTAAACGTTTTGACTACTGGGCAAAATGGAACCGTGGGTGGGAAGGGAAAGAGTGCAGGTGGTGGTAAATGTGACTGGGAAGACTGTGCAGAAAATCATACATTGAGAGGAGCTCTCTGATGGAGATCTGGGGAGCTTTGCTCAGCAACACGAGCACCCAAAATGAGTTACCTTGTTCTGCCTCAGTAAGAATTTTGGTGGCTTTGTTGATGGTTGTGCTGTCCCCTTCTCCTGCCATTTCAAGTATTTCTTCCTGGCTAAGTACACTTTCCCAGGATCCACTCCAGTCTGCAGAAAAGAGAGTTTCTCTGAAAAAGCCTCTTCAGCTCCAGAGTCAGGGATCCCCCCGAGATTTCCTGGCCTGTGGCATGCAGCACAAGAGGACAGCAGCTGCTGTGCACAGGAGGTGACAGTGGTGGCAACCAGACAGCACCATGTCCTGCAGCACAGGCACGTGCATGGAGGGACACGTGCAGCAGGGTGACTGCTTTGGCAGAGCCTGGAGGAGGAGACTTGCCAAGATGCAAATATAACCTCTAAAGTGAGATCTAAAAACAGATCAGAGAGAAAAGGGCAGAAGAGTATGTCTCTTGATCTACAAGAGCATGATGATCCTGGGATTAATTATCTCTGCCTGGCAAGACAGGAGAGAGCAAGGGCTATTTGGATTGGCCGCCAGCAGGAATTTCTCAGGGCATTGCTCACCTTGGCTATAATCTTCTCACGGAATATCTCTGAGTTGGCAAAATACAGTGGCGAGCAGTAGGTCACAATTTTAATGCCGTTGAGTTCGTGTACCTGCAAGAGAGAGGAGAGCTCAAACCAGATGTGGTGGGGCTGCGTGGGGTGCAGAGTGGTCGGGGCTTTGGGCAATGGATAATTGGGAAAGCCAAGGTGAAGGGCAGCCCTGAAACAAACAGCAAACAATTTCACCGGGACAGAAACCTGGGTTTGGGCCTCCTGGTCACATTGGGTACCAAAGGCAAAGAACAGCTTCCTTTTAACTCCTGCTTACCTTGTTGTAGGCTTTGGGGTTCTTGTAGATGTCCGTGGATGTTACTTGGCCGAGTGCCGAACCGTTCCGGCTGGGAGAAAAATCCAACCAGAGTTAGGGAAGATCTTACAGAAGAAGAAGAAAGAAGAGAAGAAGAAAACTGCTTCTCTTTGTATCCATCACCAGGATTTGAAGTATCGCTTTAGGAAAACGCTCAGATTTCAGCCCTGCAGAGCCTGTTTGGATGCTGGCAGAACACAGCCAACCCACGGGACTGCCTTGCTCACCAGGGAAAGACCCAGCACAAGGCTGCAGAACAGCCAGGCAGCGCTTCAGCTGGATCCCATGCTTGGCTGCAAGCCTGCTCCTGGCAGGGCTCCCCACCCTGGGGGCCAACTGGCTTTACCTGAGCTCCCAGTCTGGGAGGTGTTAATGAAGGGCTTTGTGGATTAAAAATAGTGCTTCTCTACACATACATGGGGCTCTTTCTATGAGCAGCACTGGTGGGAACTATGCAGGTAGCTTTTCTGGCTGAGGTAAATAGCTTCTGACATCCCCCTGCCTTGGGATGTGCACATCGCTAACCGTGCACAGGAGTGGGAATGCAGGCAGTAAATTAGCGCCTGCCATTCCTGTTTGCGCATTCCAGGCGCTGAGGAGGACACCTGCACTCCCCCAGGCTCAGACTGCACGTTCCTTCGAAACGCAGGCCAGAGGTTGCTTATGAAAATAACCTACTGCTTATTATTCTGCAGCTGGGAGATGTTTCCCTTCCCTTTAGGTTTTTGGAGCTACGGTGGTACTTACAACTGGGTATGGAAAACCACAACCAGCACGGAAAATCCCACACCCACTGCGACTCCGTAGGGCAGGCTCAGGAAGAAGGCAGCCAGGAAGCTCACCAGCCAGACCAGCTGCAGAAAGAGAAGGGCAAGGCATGGTTCTTCTGCTGTGCCCTGGGCTGGAGCACAGCGAGGGATGAAAAATGGCTCGTGCTGATATTCGGGACCCAAAGAATGGCACAGCTGAGGATCAAAAGAATGCTGCAGCTATTCTAATTACACTGCTTAGTGCATGTTTTCGTGTGAAGCGTCGCTGCTGGGAAGCTAGCCAGAAGCCCCAGCTTTTCAGCTGTAAAGCAACCAGTGTAATTCTTCATAGCTGCATGACCCCCCGTCACTCATTCAGCTCAAAAAGTCTCAAGAAAAGGCTCCTGCAGATCAGACCATCTGCTGCTCAGCAGCACTCCCACCCCCAGGAAAGCTCCTGCTGTCATTCAGAGCGTATGGAAGGAATGAGCATCGATCTGCAAACTGCCTGAGAGCCTGCTGTAAATGACCTGAGCACATAGCAGATCTGATGACAAAGTGTGACAGGGCATAGCAAAACCTGCTCCACCTCTCAGCTCAGAGTCCTGTCATCTGTCATTTTTATATATTAGCACGTGAGCATCTCCATCCATATGAAATTGGTCCTCTATAAACATGCCTTCTGAGAATTGTTATCAGGGGATTATAAGCTGATCCTCAAGACTATGAAGAGCTAACTTTGATCTTGGTCAAATCAGGGTAATTTTGATAATTTCAGCATCTCAATATCAGATTAAGAACGATGCCTTTACATGTGAATCCTCTCCATCTGGACTGGATACAGGAGCATGCCTTTGGAGCAATCTGTGTGATTAGCACCAAAACACGATCAGACCTGAGGTAATGGACACCAATGGGCTGACAACACCCAGAAGTGGTATTCCCCAGTTTGGGACAGGAAGGGCATTGAATCTAGTTCAAATTCCAGGGAGATTAAGGTCAGTGGAGCGCAGTTCACCCCAATGGCATTTGCTTTGTCCTCACTCTCTTTGCATTGAAGGCAGCTTGTGCCAGCTGGGAGCTCTGTGCTGGACAGTGGGCCTGTGCCTTCACCAACATCACAGAGCTCAGCTGGGACTGCTCACCCATCTCTGTTTGAACAGAGCGTTTTGGGAAAGCTGTTGATGGCTCAGGTCAGCCCCTTTGGACTCGCGATGGCTGCGATAAGGCAGCGCGCCGGGTCCTGACAGGATATTGGCTCGGTGTCCGCACACACCACTCAGCCCCGGGAGCCCTGTTCAAACACTGTCTTTTTTATGTCAGACATTTCCAAATTCCGTTCTCACTCCCCCTCACGCCACCCCCTTGGGTTTATACATCAACCAGTGCCTGGAGTCCTTATCGCTGCGAAGGGCTCTCCTCACCCTGGAGGGCTATTGTGTGAGTTTTTAAGTCATGACTCCTAGATATTGAGCAGGGCCGGTTTGGCTAGTTCTGGGCAAACAGGCTCCTGCCGATGATTGGCATTTAAACAGAGCAGGTAATAGTTCAGCCTCCATGACATGTGGCCAGGCCATGGCTCCAGACCATCAGAAGTGGATGGAGCACAGCAGTGGAGCAAAACCCATTTTCCCCAGAAGGGATCTGGGGGTCCCCCCACCCATCCCCAGGCACTCACGCAGTCCAGCTTGCTCTTCTTCCACAGGTAGAAGGGATCAGCCAGCTGCTTGAGGGAGTTCTTCAGGTTGACAGCGATGAGGGCTCCCAGGACAGACTATGGAGGGGAGGGCATGGTGTTACCCTGTGCGTGGTGCTGAGCGTGTGCCACATTTCACAGCAGATGCTTTCCCAGCCCGCCAGCACAGTGGAGATAATGAAGATCACAAAGATCATGTTTGCAGCATGATGGTTTAAAAGATCATTGTTTCCTACAGACAGGACCGCAGCCCATAGCAAATCATGCTGTGCAATGGTTTGCATCAAGCAAGGCTTGATGAGTTCTCTGAAGCAAGGCTGAGCATTCTCCAGCATGGAGAGGTTGAGATGCTGCTGCTGCACTTTTTGCACATTTGTTCACCTTACCTTTGGAAGAGGTTCAAGATAAATTCCTAGAGAAAGCATGGTCACCATAACCACCAATGCCACAAAGAAACTTGCCACCTGCAGAAAGGAGAAAAACCATTTCATTAAACATCAGAGTCTTCCTGAACCCCCTCCTGGTTCTTGCTCTCCAGCTGCTTCAGCCAATACTGGAGCTGGGCACTCCAGGGCTGTGTGAGCAGCCATTGCCTCTGAGGAGCAGGCTAGAATCTCCCAGTTCTCACAGCCCAAAACTTCTCTCATGTGGGAGCTCTGCTCTGCTCAGTCTGAGCAGCCAGAGTGGGAGCACACATTGACAGCCCTGTATCTGAGATGGGTCCAATGAACCGTGCAGGGAAAAATGGGGCTGGGGGAGTATATCTTGTATTTAACAGCAATGTGAAGCACTCCTACATGGAGCTTTTTCAGGCCTGCAGTGATGTCAAGCTGGCAGCATGCACCTCTGCAGGGATTTGCATGGAAGATGTGGGAGTACTAACTTGTGATTTGCCTCCTGCCCCGTCCACAGCCAGAGTGACAGAGAGAGCACAGCAGATGACGTGGATTTTGAAGAAGGATCCAAAGAAGTTACTGCAGCCCAGGGCCAGCATTTCCTGTGGAGAAGGAGGAACACAGTCATCTCAGTGAGCAGCTCCAGTCCTGCCCTGTAGAGGTGTTTGAGAAGAGAAATACAGCCCCCAGCTCCTATTCTCTACAGTGTATCCCAGAGCTTTTCCTTCCCAGAAGAGCTGAGGTGGGTTCCAGCCACTATGGCAGGGCAGCCTGGAAGCACCATGCCATACAAACATGTTGTCAGTTGTTGACACACTAAGGGCAGGGCTTCATGTGGTATGCATGGCTCTTACTGAAAGCTACCACTGGTGCCAGTGATGACAGGAGAGGATTATTTAATGTCCTGCCTCTCACAGTATCTAGGTGACACACCAGGAACCCAGGCCCTCGTCTGCTCTATAAGCAACACATGTGCTTCACTGTGCTTCAACCTGCAAAAATGCCATCTGGGCCAGAACCTGGGGCTGAAGTCTCAGCTCTGGAGGGAAAGCAAAGCAGTGAGCTGAAGCTAAGTCTTTTCCTCCCTTTGACAGTGCCTCTCCCACCTGTAGGAAATGGATCTGCCATGTCCTTTCAGCCTCTGCCTGGCAGGCTGCCACGTGAGTGGGAGAAGCACGTACATTTTGAGCAGCCACGTGCATTTGCAAGCTTCCCATTCATGCAGCAAGGTCTTCCTTTCACGCCTGAGAGCCAGGGGAACATTCCTGCATCTCTTCAGAGCAAGCTTTACCTGGTTGGGGTCCACATCATAGCCATGCTTGGCTGCCAGCGTCCTCCCCATGGCCAGGTTGATCACGTAGCTCACGATGGCGAGTGAGAAGGCTGTGCCAATCATGTCCTTCCACTTGCTCACCAGGGGCAGGGTGGGCTCTGGGAACCTGCATTCAGAACAGAGGAAAGAGGTGGTTGGGATGCTGGCATTGAAGGCAGGGATGTGTTTCTAGGAATGGTGTCTAAGCTGTGGACAGGGTTAGGGGATGGTAGCATGGTGGAACAGGGCACAGCAAATCTGCCTTGCAGTTCTGAAAGGGGATTGTTGTAGAGCAGAGAGGGGTTTTCCAGGATGCAGAATAAGGAGGAGGAGGGGAAATTATTTGGATGGTGAGTGAGACATGCACACATGCTTACCCCATGCTGATCTTCCCAACCACTGGCATATTGTACTTTTCAGGCATCTTAAAGCTGCCAGAGATTGCAGTTGCAACTATTACCTGCCAATGCAGAGAGTAAAAGAGCAGTAAGTAGAAAGAACATGAGCTCTCTCAGAAGCGTTAAGTGGTGTTCCTGGGGCTGATGGTAGAAAATTAACTCCAAATTCAGACTGGAACACGAGAGAACATCCCATGCAGGAACTTTGTTTCTCATGTTTGGCATTACCAGCATGCAGGTGCAGCCCAAGAGGGATGGGCTGTGTTTCAAGGGTATCCTCCATGAGGATGGCCAAATTTCAGACCCCAGAGTACTGCACTGAGCATGGACGTGCTGTACTCCTCCAAAGTCCCCTTCAGAGCAGAACTGGGCATCCCAGGGCTGAGATGGGACAGAAGGTCTGTCTCCTGGAGGTCTGAGGGACAGCTCATGTGTCACTTACGATGATGATCTCCATGGGAATGGGCATCCGGATCTTTTTCATGTACTTCAGGTTGAGTTCCTTGACAACAATCAGAAGCACAGCACTGATCAAGGCATAGACCAGGGAGGCCACGTTGGTTTTGGGCAGACCTTTGCAAATATCAATGAATGTCTAAAGGGGAGAAAAGAGGAGGAGGTGTCATGGGACACCAGGCCCAATGGACAGCACAGTGGACAGTACTCATTACGGTAATCACCTGCAAACACCCTGAGAGGTGATGGGGCAGCAGTGCAGGTGTGCAGCCAGCTGCTTTCCCCCTCCCTCCAGCCTCTCCCCTTCTCCCAGTCCCAGTTTCCCCAGCACAGTAACAACGGTGCCTGCAGTGTGGTGGGGAGGAGGTACAGGGAAGGACCCTGTCCAAGCACCCACTTACATAGACGATAGCTAAGGGCCCGGTGTAAGACGGGACTGTCAAGCCGAAGACGTACTTGAGCACGGAGATGAGGATCTGCAGCCCTGCTGCTGTCATGAAACCCCTGATGAAAGACTCTGACAGGTAGATAGCAACAAAGCCAAACTGCACGAATCCCAGGCACAGCTAGGGTAGGACAGACAAGGTGTTATTAGAAACTGGCCAGGCCCAGTAGAGCCACTTCCAGCATCTGCTCCCAGCCCTTGCCTCTGCTCCAGGGAGGATGATTCCCTGGGGGTCAGCTTTGGATGGGGCACACAGCAGAGGCAGTGAAGAGTCCTTACTTGTATGATGGCAGTCAGGCAGGCTAGCGTGGCAGAGATCTCCAGTCTGGCTGCTTCCATGGCTGTGGTATTCACGCTGGTCTCATTAGTAGTGTGATTGAAGTACTGGAAGTCCGACTCTGGAGCCAGCTCATGGCAGACGTTGCCAACAATAATGCTGATGACTGCAAAAGTACCTTTGGCACAACACAGTGATGTCAGTAGTTTGTTCTGGAGAGTGTCCTGCCCTGGAAAGCACTCGGACAGGTTAGGCTGTCCTGAACGAGTCGCTCAGCCCATCAAGGGATCATGGACACCGTAAGCCAAGCCTGCCCAAACATTGCTGCTCCAGGACACACCAAGTATTCCCATCCAGTTGGTGCTTAGCTGCCCTGTGCAGAGAACTGCTCTGCAGACTCACCTGGGACCATCTGGTGGATACCGCCAAGGAAGAGGTATGTTATCAAAGGGAAGAAGGAGGAGTAGAGCCCATTGACAGGAGGCAGGTTGGCCAGCAGTGCAAAAGCCATCCCTGGGGAACACAAGAGGAAGGTGCAGGTCAGCGTGGTCCGAACAGCCCCTGCTCTGCTTGTGCTCTATTCCTGGTCCTGAGGATGCTGACAGCCCCAGAGCTGAGCACTATGTGGCCATAGTGGGTGATCTGGAAGGGGAAGGGTTCCACAGGAACATACAGGGACAACCAAATGGGAGGGAGAGCTTGGGTTTGCATGTGCCAGCAGTAACATAGGTAACCGCCACAGACTGCGCATCCTCTGTGCTATCCCCTCTCAGTGATAGGAAAAGCTGTTGCTTCTCACCTTGTGGCACTTGGATTGTCCCCGCACTGACCCCACCGAGAACATCAGGCAAAATGTACTCCTTGATTTTATACTTGGGAAGCCAAACAAGTATTGGGAACAGGCTGAAGAGAATGAGCTTGAATCTGGAAGCTGAACATCTGGAGGAGACAAAATATGCAAAGAAGTAAAGAAGGAAGGAAGTAATCAGGGACACGAGCAAGGAAGGAAACCAGGAAGCAAGGAAGGACCTTCTGAGCAATGCCTCAGCCTTTCCCCGATACCAAATCCTATGCCCAGTGTTTTGGGCACAGCCCTTCCATGCAAGTGCAAGGCTCTTGCTGTTAACGGCTGGCTGTGCCAGGGAGGATTACTGTGGGAAATCCTGGGAAGTCCCCAGTGCTTCACAGCTCTGAAGGGTTTGGCTGCCCAATATCTCGAGTCTTTATTTCTAGCACAAACGGTGTGACACAGCTCAGAGATTGACGGGGCAGTTGTGCAGAGCCAAAGATGAGCTTCTGCAGGTGTTTGGTCAAAAAACCCAAATTATGTCAGAAAGAACACTGTTTCTGAGTGCTGACACATGCAGCTTCTCACACCTCTGCCTGCCAGCATGTGTGCTCTCCTTCCCTGTACCACTGCCTTCACTCTTTCAGGGAGCAGAGTGAGATTTCCAGGACAGCAATCAGCAGGATTATTCATCTTTCTTTAATGGAAGCCAGTACAGGAACTGACAGAAGGAAATCCCAGCTGGAAAGCTTAAAGAAATAGTCTACTTGCTCATACCTGTATCGCCATTTATGCTTTTTTCGTTATTAGTAAAATTTGGAAAACAGCAACCCAAATCCCAAAAGCAATCGGTGCAAACTGTTCTGCTTCTGTGCCTTACAGTGTAACAGCAGTGAGGCAGTGAGAACAGCGTCCTGTTCCCCTTGCTTCTGCACCACGCATGCTTATCCCATGCTTTTCATCCATCAAAGACCTCGGAGGTTTCCCAGGATTAAAACGTGAACTATGTCCCCAGGTCCAAATAATGACCCAATTCCAGACCAGCTCTGCTGTAGTTTTGCCCCGGGAATAGAGATAGGATTCTGTGTTACCTGAAAAGGTTTTTCAACTTTTCCCCGACGGGATAACTTCTGCTTTTCTTCTCAAACTCTTCATCAAAGAGGCTGACCGAGTATGCAGGGCGTTCGATGACATAGCGGGGTCTGGCGTGGCTCATCTCTGGATCATTTAAAGGTTTCCCAGAAAAAAAAGAACAAGCAAAACCAAGAATGTGACTGGAGTTGTCCCCACCTGCGGTATAACAGACCGGACACCTCCAGCGTCTGGGAGCCCTCCCAGAACATCTCCACCCTAAATAGTTTCCCTATGCGCAGAGGCAGGCTCTGGGAGTGGCTTCTCCAGCACTGGGGACTGCTGCTCCCCATGAGCCTTCCCCAGCTAATTTGAGGTGATGCTAACCAGTGATGCTGTGTGAAGGGGACAGAATCCATCCTGGGTTGTCTGCCAGACGGGCGCAAGTGTTAGTCTCAGTTCTGCCCTTTTTGCCTTAGGCAGGTTATTTGAGCCATCTCGTGCCTCAGTTTCCCCACCTGCCATCAGGGTTGGCACAGCTGCACCTCATGCAGCAGCTCCGACACAGCAGACACCGGTGCTGTGATGAAATGTTGTTTCCATCCAAGGTGTCCCTGTTTCGCTGCCCACTGCACTCAATCACATTCAGCAGCCTTCCTTCGTCCCCGTTGCCTTGAGAGGCTGTGAGCTTGTCCTGGATCTATTCTAGGAAGCGATGCATGGAAAGATAACTATTGCTAATTTGTTTCAGTGATGAGGATGCCGAAGCATCCTGATGGACTAGTCCTGAGCAGTATCTGGGTCTTACCAAAGAGGCTGATGAACTTCAGAAAGCCCTCATTTTACCATGACTGGGAAAGGGGGAGAAACATTACAAGTTGGGAAGTCTGAGGGTGGAGAGAGGAAGTGGTCAGGCATGGATTGGGGTATTGGTAATGATGTGTGGCACAGCAGTGATGTAAGTGGGTCATTGCCCAACGCAGGAGCAAAAGAGGGGGTGGAAGAAGCAGGTGATTCAGACAGGAGTGTGGATCAAGAAACAACATCCAGGTTGCCAAGGCTGCGTGGAGCGATCCGAATCCTCCCCCCTCCCCTCTTTCCTCACTGCTTTCAGGTACCGCTGAAGTCAGCACACATCCAGGATGAACCAACGTTCCTGTGTAGGAGCAACGCTGCCAGCGCCGTGCAGATCCCTCCCTGGGCTGGAGGGCGTGAGCAGCACAGAGCAGGAAGGAACGTGTGATGCAGGCAGCCGAAACTTTGGGGGAATTTAGGTCAGCAGAATCATAATGCTAATGGGTTAAGAGGGGGAGGTCATCAACCCCACTGCTGTCTTAGGAATCACAGTGGCACCGAGGGCACCTTGCTGTAAACCAGCACCAGCAGTGCTGTGCCTGGGAATCTGGGCTCTGCTCCACATTGCCATGGCTTGTGGGACCCCCAGGAACCCCCATCCTGGATGGCTCTGAGGTCCTGGCGATGTCCCTACAGCACGCCCTCAGAGCCCGTCCTCCTGCATCCACAGGCACTGCAGCCACTGCCCTCTGCAGGCACACATCCACTGCCAGCTCTGCATCCCTTCCTACCAGGGATGCCCTTCCCAGAGAGACTGATTTCTGCCTTCTGGAGGATTGGTGCAGGCTGAGAACAAGCAGTGTTCAGGGCTCTTCTCCAGTCCCCACAGCAAAAACCCCTCTGCTCTTCTCATGTCGAGCTGCAGAGGTCCTGTCCCAGCTTCACAGCCTTACTCCAGGTCCCAGCCCTACTCCTCTGCTCTAAATTTCCTATTCTCCTTCATAAATATTTTCTACCCCAAGTCCAAACCATGCAACAAGCTTCTAAGGGTGACAAACCCATCAGTTTTGGTCTCCCAGCTTTATTTCTCGGCTCCATCACTGCCCAGCAGCCTGCCTGCCATCAGACAGCCTGAATCAGCCGATTATACCACAGCTCTTTAATGAATTTCTCCTGCTGAGCAAATGTGCTGGCAATCAGGAATAATAATAAACAAGGCAAGAACAGAGGGGAAAATATCCCCATGATTAAATTCCATCTTAAACAAACAAGCTGATGATGTCAGCGTCTCGGACAGAGTCAAGTTCTTGTCAAGTTCTTGACTTGGCTTATCACTGGCCTTGCCCTAGATCAAACAGCAGGTTAAACCTTTGAGATTTTGGAATTAAAGAGAACCAGCCGTGTGATTGCGCCCTGAACAAAGGCAGAACCAGCTGTCCTGGTGCTTATGGGTAAGACCACAGGGACAGCGAAGCAATGCAACGCACGTGGGAAGGAAAGCAGAGCAGCAGCATGTTGTTGCCTCAAAGGCAACAGAGCTCTGGTCCAATATGGGCATGGAAATAAAGGATGGGGCTGGGGAAGAGCTCCAAGAGCAAAGCTCCTACAGCTCAGTGCCCAATGCAAGCTGAGGCTTCAGGAAATCCATTTCTCTGTGTGCTGGCTGGAGTGAGTGATGCTGAGAAATGTGACATTGGCCCCATGGATGAGCCCACTGAGCCTGGCATCTTGGAGAGCTCGGGAAGCACTGGGGACGTAGCTGTGATGTGATACCTTATGCAAGCAACAGGTGAAGGCAGGACCACGTCACTCCGAGACTGGGATGTGGGTGATGGGTGTTGTGCCAGGTCACAGCTGAGTCCCACCAGGACACACCTGGCTGCTCCCTGCCCTGCTGATCTCAAACGGCCTTGTATTTGCCAAGCACAGACTTTTCCTCCCAGCGTTCATCTCACAAATGCACTTTCTGGGCTCTTATCTCCTGTCCCCGTGCTGGTGATAGCTTTGTTTGGGAAAAGTCACATTGAGGTTTCTGGTGAGTGTTGATAGGACCCATTGGCGTAACGCTGCTTTCCTGTACTGGCACAGCCCAGCAATGGGACTCCAGTCCAGTCAGTGGGAATCAGAATTTGGTTAGAGAGAGAGAACAATGTGATCTGGAGCCGTGCACTGTAAGGGTCCAAACTCATTCTAAACAGGAGTGTGGCATTCAAGGAATGCCCATCTATAATTTAGAGAGAAAAAAATCGGTGCTCTGGAAATACTGTTTCCTCCTTTTTCTACCCCCTTTCCATCCCCCTTCTCCTTGCACAAGCATGTGCACACACAGATCTTCTGCTGACTGTTAGTGGAGGTCAGAGGTCTGGCCCCTTCCAAATCCTGGCTGGATCTTTGTTAGAAACATCTCTCTCCCAGCTGCATTGCCCAAGAACGGGCTGTAAAAAGCTGCTCTCCCCTACCCCAGGAAGAAGGCTCTGGCCACAGACAGCAAGCACAGGTGCAAGGGTTTGGTTGCGACACCAGGACAAGGTCTTGACTCCAGCTGCTCTGAACCACTGCTTCCAGCTCCCACACAGCTCTGCAGGTGCCATGGGAGCCCTGGGGCAATGCAGCAAAAGGGCTCACGTCTCTGAGGGACATGTGGGGAAGCTGTCACCTCTCCCCTGAAACCCTTGGATGCTCGCTTGCTGAGATGGGGCATGGGAAAGGACAGGGTAGTTGCGGTGCTGGATGCTGAAGTGCTGGGTGCTGCAGTGCTAGGGGCTGTGGTGTTGGATGCTGCCATGCTGGATGCTCCCCGAGGCCGAGCTCTGCCTCAGCCTCACACCACACACCTGCACCTATCTCACACCTTCTCCCTTTCACATCTCCAGTGTCCAGCTGGGCTTGCCAAGCACGCTGGCAGGAAGAAGAGAAGGAGGTGGAGGTTTCTGGCGTCAGTCAGCTCAGATATTTCAGAAGGATTTGATATAATTCTCCCCACTATCAACACCAGTCAGCCCTGCAGGTCCACTCCCATGTCCGTCACATTCTCCAGCCTCCTGGTATCAAGTCTGGCTGATGGCCTTCACCAGCAGCTCGTCACCAGGGCAGTGCCTTCAGTGGGGCTGTTTGGCTGGGCGCACCTTTTTGCAGTTAAATTCCCTTTGACCCAACTTGCCTTTAGCTTTGTGTTGCCCTAGGGCTTATCTGTAGGAAAAAAGCACCTTGAAGAATTGAGGTCAGATCTGTAGCCCTACGTTTTTGGCATAAATATATTGGTAATAAATGCCTTTCCTAATAGTGCAGATAACTTGGGGAAGGGCAGGAGGCAGAAGTTGGGAACCAGTGACTGCACTGCTAGGGCTAAGCTGCCAGCATGCACTGAATGTGGGTTTGTAAGTTTCTACTAATTTCTCCCCTTTGGAAACAAAAGAGGCTGATGCCAGGAGAGTATGTAGTTCAGTGATGAAAAATGTCCTACCCCAAAGTTGGCTTTAGCCTTGGAAAAGGCAGAATGACAGTCTACAAAGTTCAGCAAAGACTTAGCTGCTTCAATCCATTCTCTTTTCAGAGTTCAGGTTCCTTCATGATGGCCAGTGCAATAAATGCTGGGGAGACAGGAGGAGGAGAGAGGCATGAGCTGGTCCTGCCTGACTGCTGGAGCCAGGATGGATCTGCTGATGGCCTCAGCTCCATCATCCCTCTGAGCAGCCATCCTGTGCTCACACTCCTTCACTTTCACCACGGAGCAGCAGCCAGGCGTGGAACAAATACTTTCTTTCCATGTAGATTAAACATTTGGGGTGTTTGGTGGGTGATTTCCATCAGGCAGATGGCTCTCCTCTTGTTTGGAGTGACCCAACCCAGTGCAGGCAGCAGTGCTGCGCTCTGCTCCCGTGCAGCACTCTGGAAATAGCCCTGGGCTGCTGCCAATGTTTGATGTACCACTTCACATGAGTTTCTAACCAAACTAGCTCTGCGCTTGGTAACCAGAATAATAAGATCTGCAGACATCTGCCAGCTACGGAAGGTGAAGCCAAAGTGTTTGGCTCGAAGGGAGCTTAAAGTAAAGCGCTGGTATTCGGCAGCCTGACTCCTGCTCCTTTTAATGTCGCTGTTAATGCAGCAAATGCTGTGGGCACAGGGATCTGCTCTGTGTTGGCAGCAGGTTAAAGAAGCCCAGATTTGGCCAGCTCTTTCCATGATGTGTTTGATCAGCCCGCACGCTCTCAGCTCCTGCCCTGCCCTCAGTGGCTCCTGCAGTTGCACCCAGTGCTGTGCCCAGGGGGCTGTGCTGTGCAGGTGGAGCCCATCCCAGCCGGGAGAGCCACAGCAGCAAAGAGATTTGGAGCTAAGAAAAGGCACAGTGTGATGGCTCTGAGGGCCCAGAGCATCTATTGCCTGCAGCCCCAGCTCACTGCCTGCAACCACTCTGCCTCGCCCTGCAGCAGGGACTCCTTCTGTCCTTCCTCTGATAGGAGACAAGAAAGGGAGCCAGAATGGAGACTGACTTTTGGGATGTATCACCAGCTGGAGCTCCATGAGAGTGCTCCAGAGCTGCCAGTTGCCCTGCTTTGAGCTGGTGGCAGTGCCTGGAGGTGTCACCTTGCTGCTGGCAGTGCTGGTTGCCAGCTCCTTGGCAGGCAGAATGCAGTGTCTGACCTTAATGGCATTTGCTTCTGTTCCTGGGAAGCAGTGTGCCTTTCCTCCCTATCCCTTGGCTGCTCCCCCTGAATACAGAACCCTTGGGATGGGGAGGAGGAAAGGTTTGAAAGTGAAATTAGAAGCAGAAGTGAAGGCTTGGCCTCCCTCATGAGTCTCTGCATGCCTCCGACACAGACCTCGCCCTCCGCCTTTGAAGAGCAGGTGGGCAACACAAATCCCAAAGGAATTAAAAAGTCTGCAGGCTGCAGCATTCTTGCACTGAGCCGGGTGCCTGCTGAGAGCTCCACAACACAAACAGCCGCGGGTCAGCCGGTCCATCCTCCCCCAGAGGTAGAGGGTGGGAGAGCATTTCTTTGCTGGAAAGCTCTGCTCTGGGGCAGGTGTCACTTCAAAGGAGGGAAGGACAGGTCCCAGATGAAGCTTACAGCTTGCTTGCAAGTAAGGCATGGATATATTTTATTGGGGCAGAGAAGAAAGCGTCATGCCTTCGTGAACATCAGCATACAGCAAAGGGAGGAATTCTTCTCTAGTCTGTACTTGAAGGATCCTGCCCAAAATGCACTGTCACACCCCATGCAATGGCATCAGGAGGAGATGCAGCCCCTGCAGCCGAGCTCAGCCTGCCAGCACTCCTCATTCCCAACTCCAACAGTTCCTCCTATTCTGCCTGTGTGTGCCCACAGCCATGCAGTCATGCACCTGCTGTCCCAGGCAGCAAAGACCCCTTGCTCAGGCTGGATTCCTATGCACAGCGAATGCTCCTCTCTCATTGCATAGATTTTGCATAGATCTGCACGTACCTTCTTGCTATGCCTGCACGTGCAAAGTCTAATCTGTGCTGTCACATCCTCGGGGCAGGGACCAGTTGCAGATCCCATGCACAGGACGTTCTGCTAATGAGGATCACAGAACTGAGGGTCTCTCATCAGTACTTCTGCTCCTATACCAGGGAAATCCCTCCATGGATCTCAGCAGGAGGCAGCCAAGATAAAAGGATAAGATGGTAAAATTTATACCAGCAATGCCTAATTCAGGTATTTGCCTCTTTCAGCCTCTCCTCATAAATCAAGCTCCCGGATTGCAAGTGTTGCTAATTCGCCAGTAAATCTGCTGCCACGAGTCCCCTTTGCAAAAAGAGGGAGACAAAAAAGAAAAAAAAAAAAAAAAAGAAGAAGAAGAAAAAAAAAAAGGACCAGTTCTCCAAATACTGAAACTCACACCCAGTGGCCGTGCAACCAGAGGGCAAATCCCCCACGCCCACCCAGACAAAGAGCGGATTGTTGGTGCTGGGTTACCTGCGCCTCGCCGGGCGAAGGGAGGGCCGGTCCTGCGCGGAGCCGCGGAGGTGGCACGGAGAGCGACGGTGCGGAGCTGCCGAGAGCCGTGCACAGCTCTGAGCTCAAATAAGCCCGTGAGTCATTTATAAATCACCTCAGTCAAGGGGACCGAGGGCTGTGCTCGGCGCCTGATTGGCTTCTCCGAGGTAATTGCAAGCAAGTACACCCAGGCTGAGCCTAGGAGATAGCTGGGGAGATAAGGAGAGATCTGAAGAGGGACAAGGGGTTTTTTTGGATGTCCCCCCTCACCCCACCCCTTCCCGCTCGGTTCTGGGCTGTTTGATCCCCTGTGCAGGTCCTGGTGCTCTGGGCTCCCCGTGACAATAGCCCATATTCAGCGGACCCCTCCCTCGCCCCGACCGCACGCGGTGAGCAGAGGATGCTTTGTTGGCCCGGGGCGCTGGGCAGCGTCTCCTGGCTTTTGTGCTCCAAAAAGGACAATGGGGTGCATTGTGCCAGGGCCTGGACCCCGGGCTTTGAAGGTGGGATTGGCAGGGGAGAGCAGCTTCTATCTCATTTCCAGGTTCAAAGAGATGAGAGGAGCGGAATCGGATGGGAAGTGATGGGTGACGGCAAAGGGCTCATCCTCAGCACTGCATGGAGCCACGCGGTCCTCTCTGTTGTAGGGATGTGGCAGTGATGAGATGGACAGCCCCTGTAGAACTGACACAGCCATGGCAGAGCTCCGAGTGTGGGTGGAACTCATCTCTGTGCTCCTGCTGTCGCCCAGATGTGAACCATCTGCATGGAAAGTGCCGCTGCCTGCATGGCTCCAACTTGAGCCTGAAACGCAGGTGGGAAACCTGCAGGGAAAAGGGAAAGGGGAGGATGCAGGCAGTGGGATGGCAGGAAGGATGAGGGCCATCAGTGCAGAGAGCTGTGGTAGATGCACACCTTGGCCATCAGTGTTCACTGTCACAAAACCTCGTCGTATGGGAACCAATAGCCATGCCAGCAGCACGCCAAAGCAACACCCTGCAGCGGGGTGCTGCCACAGGGGGCTGATTCATTGCCCTCTTACAGACAGAGGTAATAATTGCCAAGCACTTGTCCTGTAAATATCATTAATAACTCCTATCAACTGCTTTTTAAAAGGGCAGCCTGATAGGCAAGGAGCCCTTTGAAACGGAACTGCGTGACATGGCAAGAACACAGCCAGGCCACCCCTGTGCCCGATGGTCTCTGGTGCTATGTGAGCCCAGGGCACGGCCCCAGAGGTCCAGGGGGTCCTGCAGGTGTGATGCATGCAGGGAGAGGAAGCAGAATCCGTGCTGCCTTGCTGGAGTTGTGTGCTGGCCGTGCTGAAGGGGATGCTATTGCTGTCATAAGGTGGGAACTTTGCCTGGCATGTGTCTGAAAGGTGCATTTTTTTTCCTCATCTTAAATCAACATCCCGGCGTGGGGCTGGAGATGTGACTGAGGGACACGGGGGTAAATGGCTTCAATGAGACCTGTACCTGAGCATGGGATAGGACCCAGAGCCCTAAGTTCATTCATCCCCTCTGATCACAGCTGCTTGTCTTTGGGAAGAGGCAGCTCCATGCAGAGAACATCCAGCCACCCCCGTGTCCAGAGCAATGCAGCTCCCCTTGGCTGGAGCCACTCCAAAGTCCTGCTGGGTGTGATTAGGGCGAGATCAGCCCCGTGCAGCCACTGATGGTCCTTTGACATTTCTTGCAATGGGAGTGCACTCCTGGGCAAATTCCAGTCTCAATGACTATTAATACAAGTCCAATTCTGCCCCTTTCTGCTGCAGCCCAGCTTTCCTTATGGGATATGGTCCTAACAGCCCAGCCAGGGTCGCTATGGGATGTGGGTGAGTATTTGGGAGCAGCAGGGCTGCCTCAAAGCAGAAGGGTGCTGAGGGGTGTGAAGGCACCTCAGGGTCTTCTCTGAACCCAGCATGGAGCGCTGAGTGCACAATCTACTGAGCTGCTTATCTTTGGGTCTGATAATAGCATTCCGAACAGTGCGACATGTGGATTTATTTGCAGATGATTAATATTAGCAGATACATTGCACTTATTGAGGGTAATAATTCAGCAGTAATTTACTGCTGGGAATGATGGGAAAGCTTCCTCAAGGCCCTGGGTCACAGAGGGGAGGTGGTGCAGCCCCCGGGAGGGAGGGGTTTGATTTCTGGGTGCTGCTGCTGCTGGTAGCTGAGCAGAACTCCCATCCCATCCCATCCCATCCCATCCCATCCCATCCCATCCCATC